TTTGGGGTTTTATTCATTAAAAAAGGGGGGATTTTCCAGTTTTCCGACAATTACTCCAGAATGCTTTCACCAACTTGCAAGAAATTTTGGTGAATTGTTTATATCTATTGACATGAGCTCCCTTTTGACTTTTATAAATTTTAGATTTTACGTTTCCGAGTTACAGGGTTTTATTCATAAAAAAAGGGTGATTTACCAGTTTTTGGACAATAACTAAAAAATTCTTTCAGCAGTTCTCATGAAACTTTGGTGAATTGTTTATATCTGTTGATGTAAGTTCCCTTTAGAATTTCATAAATTTTAGATTTTACATTTCTGAGTTATGGGGTTTTATTCATTAAAAAAGGGGGGATTTTCCAGTTTTTGGACAATAACTCAAAAATGCTGTCAGCAGTTCTCATGAAACTTTGGTGAATTATTTATAGCTATTGATGTAATCTCCCTATTGATTTTCATAAGTTTCAAATATGACATTGAGAAGAAATTGAACTTTATTTGTTTATAGTCTGACAACAGATTTACTAAGTATTGCGCAACAGAACAGTGTATTGCACAACAGCAAGAAATCTTTTAATTGAATATAAATTCAATTCATATAACCAATTTCAAGTTCTTTGACTACATTTATTCAGAAACCTATAATATGTCAAATATTTAATTACAATCCAAATTCAGACCTGTATCAAGCTTGAATATTGTGTCCATTTTTGCCCCAACTGTTCAGGGTTGGACCTCTGTGGGGGTATCCAGCTGTGCTCAGCGAAGCAGTTTATTAGTCATGCTTGAAGATATTGACTTGATATTTTCTTTTTGTTTACACCATGACAAGTTATAGAACATTAGTTAGCATTTTGTTCCAGTATAATGAATTTTTACCCGGTAGGGGACTATGTATTGGCATGCAATACTCTAAGAATGCTTGTTCAAACTAAACTTTGTCTACTTCATCCATATAAAATGCCAACTATGAAGTTTAATTTCTTCTAGGTTGACAGACCCAACATGGTTAAAATAGAACACAGTAGTCAAACTGCAGCTGTTGGCTAATATCTTGAAACTTATAACTACATTTAGCTAGGATAAAGATTATCAGCACGACAAGCACTATCTACCTTGAAAAAAACATCGCATTGGAGTTTTGCCCCTGAAATATTGATTTTAAGGTTTTTTTGACAGGTCTTGGCTTTTGAATAAAAATGAATTGTGTAAACAAGAATGTGTCCATAGTACACGGATGCCCCACTGGCACTCATTTTCTATGTTCAGTGGACCGTGAAATTGGGGTCAAAACACTAATTTGGCATTATGACTATACTAGGTGGGGCATAAAAATTTAGTCGCAAAATGTTGGACAAAATTATTACTATCTGGCAGCAACGGTGTAAACTATTTGTTTAAGGCTTCATATTTCAGAAAGTAGAAGACTTGGATGCTACATACCTTGTATGCAGATGCCTTGTGTTGAAAGGTCATATGTACATTTTTCATGGTTCAGCAACTGCTTGAAAAAATGTTAAGTTTTTTGTCATGTTGAATACTCACTTGATAGTAATAAGATTTCCATTTTGTATATTGGATCCTTGCAAGGTCTACATGTCCTTCATACAGGGTTCACCTGACCTCGACTTCATTTCATGGATCAGTGATCAAGGTTGAGTTTTATACTATAAGCAATATATCAAATTTATTAGGTGTATAAAATTATTATAAGGTGTACATATATAAAAATAAGGAGATGTGGTATGATTGCAAATGAGACAAATATCCACCAGAGTTCAAATAAGTGGATACATGTATAAGCAATTATAGGTCACCGTACAGCCTTCAACAATGAGAAAAACTTACCAATACTGTATAGTGGGCTATAAAAAAGTCAGACTGGCAGGTATAAGACCTTGACTTCATTTTTATGGATCAATGGTCAATTTGTATGTCTGTTTCTCAAATACTATAAGCAATATGCTGACTATAATTGGCATATAGTACAATTATAAGGTGTACACGTCTGTCTGGCCCTGCATGACCTCATTCACATGGATCATTGATATTTTTAAGTTTATGTGAAACTTGTAATAAAACATTCATCTTACAGGCTTTTAACATAGATTCAATCTTGGTAAGTAATCAGGCAAGGCATTATGGTAAAAGTGTCAATTACAAAAAATCATTTATCTACCCTAAAATATTTCAAAAAAGGTCTGGAAAACCTATGTCACACAGTGTGCTAAAGATGGCAACCCTCCCTTTCTAACAAAACGTACATAAAGAACATACAATTAAATAATGGTATAAAAGATAACTAAATAAGACACAAAATGTAAAAATAAGTAACATCCTACAAGTACTAAAGAATGTTCACAGGTACTGAAAGTAAGCTCTAAGTACATTAATATCTACATGCATCTACATATATAGTATTGGTTGTTGTATTTCATAAAATTGCATACAGCAACACCATAAACAGAATTGGAAGACACAACCTTGTGCAATGTCTAAAACAAACTATACATAAAAATAAGAGTGCACACGCTGAAATGTCTTGCCTGCTTTACTGACCATTGATTTTATGTTGATAGTCCTAAATATAAAGCTTTACTATAAGTATCGCATACAATTAACATGATCCAAGAAAATGAGGTCAAGGTCAAATAAACCAAACTGGAAATACATGTACACCTTACAATCATTCCATACACCAAAATAGTTGACCTATTGCTTAATATTAGTTTCTAAGAAACAAACTTAACCAGGAAAACTTCACATTGACCAATGAAACATGAAAATGAGGTCAAGGTAAGATGAACCCTGTTAGACAGACATATACACCTTACAATCAATCTATGCATTAAATATAGTTGACCTATTACTTATAGTATCTAAGAAACAAACTAAACCTGGAAAACTTAACATTGACCAATCAACCATGAAAATGAGGTCAAGGTCAGATGATACCTGCCAGACAGACATATACACCTTACAATCATTCCAAACACCAAATATAGTTGACCATTTGCTTATAGTTTAAGAAAAACAGACCAAAACACAAAAACTTATCATTGAGCAATGAACCGTGAAAATGAGGTCAAGGTCAAATAAAATCTGCAAGACTGATATGTACATCGTAAAATATTTCCATTCACCAAATACAGTTACCTATTGCATAAACTATTAGGAAAAACAACCAAAACACAAAAAATTAACTTTAACCACTTAACCATCAAAAAATGAGGTCAAGGTCAGATGACACCTGCCAGTTGGACATGTACACATTACAATCATTCTATACACCAAATATGGTAGACCTATTGCTTATAGTATCTGAGATATGGACTTGACCACGAAAACTTAACCTTGTTCACTGATCCATGAAATGAGGTTCACCAAATACAGTTACCTATTGTATAAACTATTAGGAAAAACAACCAAAACACAAAAACTTAACTTTAACCACTTAACCATGAAAATGAGGTCAAGGTCAGATGACACCTGCCAGTTGGACATGTACACATTACAATCATTCTATACACCAAATATGGTAGACCTATTGCTTATAGTATCTGAGATATGGACTTCACCACGAAAACTTAACCTTGTTCACTGATCCATGAAATGAGGTTGAGGTCAGGTGAAAACTGACAGGCATGAGGAACTTGCAAGGTACGCACATACTAAATATAGTTATCCTATTACTAATAATAAGAGAGAAATTAACATTACAAACAATCTTAACTTTTTTTTCAAGTAGTCACTGAACCATGAAAATGAGGTCAAGGACAATGGACATATGACAGACGGAAACTTCATAACATAAGGCATCTATATACAAAGTATGAAGCATTCAGGTCTTCTACCTTTTGAAATATAAAAGGTTTAAAGTAGTTAGTTAACGCCGCTGAGGCCTCTGGATTACTATCCCTATGTCCACTTTCTGCAATAGAAGTCGCAGACTCGACATCAAAGAAACCTTTTAGTTTTGCTTCCAACTAAACATTAGCAAATTGATTTTGACCCCCCCCCCCCCCAAAAAAAAAAAAAGAAGCTACAAGCAATGCTTTATACAATGCAATGTTTAATTTTATTTCCCACTGAAATCAAAAGAAATATTTACCCTTCAGTGCTTACAAGCACTTTGATTGTAAACTACTTTATGCAATGGGAGTATATTGAACAGAGGGATACTATTTAAGGCCTATATTACTTGCTGGTATCTGCCATCTCTGTCAATATGGGGATTGTTATTTGCTTAACATCCAGTGTTTTTTTTGTCAATATAATGGTTATCTTGAAATAAAATATATCTGCCTAGTTGGTCACATAACTTTTCAGAGAGTAGCATCTATGAACTTTTTATACTTAAATGTGCATCTAAGTCATTCTGTACTTATTTTGTAACTATTTCCATGTATTTTGTTTATGCCTTGCAATTGTGTAGAAAAATGCCAGTTTCTCACATTCAAGAACTCTTTCATAAACTCTCAGACAGGTCTGTAGGTGGCCCGAAGCAAGGCAAATCTTTTGCCCTTATCCATTCCAGGTGTAGTTCAAACTTCCTGCTACCTATTAGATGTATTGTTATTGTATTCGTCTAGAAAACGCATGAAATATTTGCCACTTTCCCTTTAGAAAATAACAATAAAGCATCCAATATCAGAACAATTCTAAAGTTAAAATTGACCAGTGGTTTCAGATGAGAATCTTAAATGAGGATGACATAGACCAAATGGTGGAAAAAGCTTGCAAGAGTCACTGCTTCCACTGGTATTTGTGAATACAGCTCCTGATAATATTTTATATGTATACTGTATACCAGGAAGAGATTTGCAGTTGAAATTTACCCCACACAAATTCAGTGTACAAGGCCATGCAACACCAATAATGAATACAGCAAATATTTAACTCTCCAATATAAGGCCCAACCTGTAACCAAATCTGGACATGAAAAACAAGCCAATGTAAGTTAATATGTTCCATGTCTGTTGTTATTATAACATACAAACAAATCATTTAAATAATCAACCCTTTTTTTTTAATAATTTCCAAATTTAATTCTACAAACTGTATAAATGTAACTACAATAAAGATAAACAATAAATAAGTATCTTTGATAGCAAATGTATATTTCAGATCACAGGAAAATCTTTTGCCAATAGGGGCAAAATATTGTAAGTATATACATTTATTTACTCTGAATATGTCATTAATATCAAAAAATATATATGCAAAGAAAAAAAATTAAACAAGTTTGTATTGCACAAAAATACCATATGAAAATTTCAACATTAATTTGGAATATAAAGGCCCTTATTTGACCCAAAATATAGGGCAAATATAGAAATCAATATGCAGGACCCTAAACTGTTAAAACACGTTTATGTTAAGTAATTTTCAGGAAATTGAGAAAACTTTTAAATTCCATGAGTTACCATGGCAACAAGCAGTTGTGAAAATTGCACATTATGAATGTCAAATATTTTTTGCTTTTCATCAATACCTATAACTGTTCATGACAAGAATGGCTACCATTTTTGGCCAACATGGGAGACAGGATTCCAGAGATAAAGAAATTTTGTATGAATTTTATTCTAAATTATTGATAAAAATTATGAACTCATAAATGCAGTATCTAAATTTTAGAATTTTAAAATAATGAAAAAACTTTCAATCACTGCAATCAGAGTTAATTTTCAAATTTTGGTAAATAATGATAATATGTTAAGACATTCTGTAATCTGTTCAATTTTTAAAAACATGATTATTTATGTAGGATGCGATGACATATAACCAGCAGATTTATAGATAGGACTGTAATCCCTTCCAGGCAGATGGGTCTAAAACAAACAATATATGAGTTACGTTATTTTGTAAACTTTACTGGCAGAATTTTGTAAGCAATATAACATGTACATGATGTACACTTTCACATGATAGCTCAATTTAGCGATACCAGGAATAATTTGTATTGCCCTATTCTTTCTCCAATTTCAAAATTTTGGCAATTAAAAAAAAAATAATAATGAATACCCTGTAATTATTCAATCTTATATACATTGTATATATTAATTACCTGGTGAATGGGTTTGGAAGTCATTCCCTTCCAAAATAGCCAAAAAGCCCTAATAATGAAACATTCAATACCAGACATTACTGAGATCCTTCCAGTTGTAAATACTGAAAAACAAGAGGTAGACATATGACATCTGTCTCGGACAACATAGAATGAAAGGTATCATAATTATCATTGTTGTATAGACATTCTCGACAAACTTCCAAAATTTCATCTAATTTTGCTTCTCCAAAAATATCACCAAGTCTCTTGAACACTTTGTTTTTTGCTGTATTGGGTGATTGTAAATAGTCCTGCAGGGACATGTATAATGCTTTGTTGATATACTTGGACATCTCTTTATCAGCGGACGAAGTTTCTTTTGCATTGGTAGCTGAAAAGACAGCATAATGTTAGCAACTAATTATTACATACAGAGAAAAAAATACATATTTATATATATATATATATAATAATAATATATAAATCAGAAAATAAAATAAATGGAGAATGTGTCCATGGGACACAAATGATGCCCCTGCTTGCATATATAAACGTTAAAAAGGGACCTAACTAGAGAACTGTAAAAAATACGCCCAACCTAATTCAAACTTGGTCTGTGTTAAATGGTAATAGGCATTGTGTATAAGTTTCATAACATTTGGTTGAGGCACACTAAAGTTAGAGAACAGAAACGAAAAATGTTTTCCATTTATAAAGGAGCATAACTCAAGAACGGTAAAAGTGATGCCACCAAAATTCAAACTTAATCTGTGTTTTGTGGTAATGAGCTTTGTGAATAAGTTTCATAACATTTGGTCAAGGGAAACTAAAGTTAGAGAACGGAAACCAATTTGGGATGTAAGGACGGATGTACAGACAGACAAGGGTAAACTTAAATGCTCCCTCCGCGACTTTGGGGGCATAAAAAATGAGATATCCCCCCCCCCCCCCCCCCCCTTTCCAAAAAAAAAATTGTGTTCTATGGCTGAAATTATTCAACATTCGAATTTACATTATTGTAATGTGCATGCAGTGTGAAATTTGACCAGTTCAAACCAGTTCAACACAGATTGTTTACACCATGTGATCGATTTACCTTATGAGGTTAACCTTTTTGATTGGATTTAATTGATGTTATTAACACTTGTAACATGATTCTTTTGTGTTTTAATTAAGAGTTCATAACTTTATGATCACAGATAACTATTTTATGGCTTCACTCACCACAGAAACACTGACCTGCGACAAGTTGGCAAATACTTTGTACACAAACAGTGTCTTGACCCGATAGGTACATTTTTTGTACATCATAAAGGTGGCTCATTACGTATAATTGACAATTATACATTTCTCAATTCTTATATTATAGTATTATATGTCTCTGATTAAACCATGGCCAATATTATTTTTAATTATGACATAGTTATTGCATAATAGTCGGGTTTCAAACTGTAGTATCTGTCTGTACATATCACATGACCCAGTTAGTTCACGTAGAATATTCAAGTTTATTTACAATTAATTGCAATCTATTCTATTTTATAAATAAAATGTGTGACTGTACCTTCAAACCGGATATCTATATCCATAATTAATGAATAACAGAAGAATCTTGCAAATTTTATCCATAAGCACATGTTAAATCTATTTATATCTACTTCCTGTCATTTGGGCGGGAAAATAGGGAGACTTTAATAGTTGTTGACATTAAATATGGTTACTTATAGATCTATAGACTAAAGATAAATTTATAGATTTAGAAATTCTTTTTAAATGGTTCATGACAAATAAAGATTTATATTTCAGTGCAGTATTAAGTCTGTATCTATGTTTGATTATCACCAAAGACATATAGATCTATAGACTAAAGATAAATTTATAGATTTAGAAATTCTTTTTAAATGGTTCATGACAAATAAAGATTTAGATTTCAGTGCAGTATTAAGTCTGTATCTATGTTTGATTATCACCAAAGACAAGAAAGGTTAATATTTACATGAAATCTATGGTCTAAAATTTATGAAAAATTTCTTTTTATTAAAATCTTAGATAGAAACTGGTTCAAATAATAAAAGAATATTTGCAATTCTTATATTGTTCTTGTAAATTTTATATCTTCTTATGACAGGAATACTTTCACATACAACAACTTTCTTTCTAGAAACTAGAAAGTTTTTTAAATTGAACATTTTTGTTCTCTTTTGAATGATATTTTATTTTTATTAATTTTGGATTTCATAAAAGATTTAATTACTTTAAATTCAGATGAATATTTTTATGAATCATAATTTATTTATTTTTAAAAAATATTAAAGTATACAAACTGTTTTTTGATTTACTTCTTTTTTTACCAATAATTTTTTGACTCAATGTCTACATAACACAGTACCACAGTATTAAAACAAAACAAGAGACATAAAAACAACAGTAACTAGAAATAGAGCTAAGCGACGCGACGCAACACAACTGATTGTATGAAATATTTCACTAAAAAGCTGTCCACACGCATTTATACCCTGGTGCTATTCAAAAATCCTGGGGAGAACACTGGTGCATGTGCACTGTCAAAGAAAATGTCTTGCTCATTAATTCGTATTAATTTAAAATATGATAAATTTGGCAATGTACACCTCATAATGTAGTGCATACATCACATGTTCATTTCTTTTTTTCAAATTTGCTTAATTTCAATCAAACCTTTCTGTTGGTGCTTGGCACTACCATAAGATTTAAATTTTTATCCTTACCAGAAATTGAATTATCAAGGGATCCAGAAGGTGGTTTTTTCACTATATATGTCTCGGATTCTGATTTTTTCCTTTTATTGATGGATGATGAACTGTCCCCTACATTTAAGCTTTCCTTTTCATTCCTGATGGCATCATAAGAGCATGACCTTCGTATAGTCTTTGGATCTTCTGAGGGAGGGTTGGGTACAACCAAACATCCTTCTGACCCAGAAACTCTTCGATAATTTTTATCCACTGTAGGCTTTCTTTGAAGTTTAGCAGCGGTTTTAGGACGATTATCAAAACCAGATCTTTGATTATTCTCAACAGATTTTCTTCTGTCATTCCTGTCATTTCCTCTAAATGTCTTTGGACCATTTTCAATTGAAGCTCTTCTGCTACTTTCCACTGAAGACCTCCTACTATTTTCTACAGACTCTCTTCTACCTTTCTCCAGAGACACTCTTCTGTTTTCCTTGGAAAACTTTAAATTACTCTCAATTGAAGCTCTTCTGCTATTCTCCACTGAATGCCTTCTACCATTGTCTACGGACTCTCTTCTACCTTTCTCCAGAGACATTCTTTTTAAATTACTTTCAATTGAAGCTCTTCTATTCTTTCCATTAGACATCCTTCGACTATTTTCCATTGGACCTCTGCACACACTTTCAACAGATGCCACTTTACCATTTTCTACAGATGTTATTTTAGTTAAATTGACAACAGTTTGCTGACTTTCCTCCAGTGAGGCCAACACCAAGCTAGCATCACTGAATACTTCATCATCAATGCTTTCATCAACAGTGGTATTTTCTTGTTCTTTGTTGCTATCAGAAGGATGTGATGACTGTCTACTTTCTCTTTCTATATTTCTGTATAAAACTGATCTTACACATTCTTCCTGAAACAAAACAACAAATTTCCCTTTGAATATTAAAAAAAATAGGTGGAAATTAGTTTTAATATGATTTATCAATACCAATTACTTCCAAAAGCACATTATATAATAAATTACTATAATAATTTCTTATCTTGACAGCTGTTTTAATATCCTCAGATCTCAAAGTGTAAAATTTCATAAATTATACTATATGCAAGTATATTCAATTGAAATTTATTTTTCCTTTAAAGAAGATTCTATGTTAAAAGTTCTTGCTAGGAAATAAGAATGGTGTTTTATACTGTCTGTAAAACAGAGGCAGAAGATATCAAAGAGATATTCAAACTCATGAGCCGAAAACAAACTGACAAAGCCATGGCAAAAAACTAAAAAACTGCCAAAAGACAAACAGCAGTGTATAATACACAACATAGAAAACTCCAGACTTAGCAACACCAAAAACAGGGGTTGATTTCATGTGCACGAGAAGGGTAAGCAGATCCTGCTCCACATGTGGCACCCGTTATGTGTAAGTCATTCACCCATTTTATATGGTTTGATTAATATGCCTTTAATTCTGTCCCATTTTAAAATTGGCAGTGGTGACATAGATTGATTGATTGGTGTTTAATGCCACTTTCATCACTGTTGGCTATTTAGTGGCGGCCAGTTTTTATTGGTTGAACAAGCTGGAGTGCCTGGAGAGAATGCTATCATGATTATTTTGTTCAAAGATCTTTGGTAATGCATTTTAAAATTTCTACTACAGATAATAAAGAAAACCTAAAACTATTTCCTAATGGAAGAGTATTTCTGTTTAAGTGTAAAATTGAGAATGGAAATGGGGAATGTGTCAAAGAGACAACAACCCGACCATAGAACAGACAACAGCAGAAGGTCACCAACAGGTCTTCAATGTAGCGAGAAATTCCCGCACCCGGAGGCGTCCTTCAGCTGGCCCCTAAACAAATATATATATACTAGTTCAGTGATAATGAATGCCATACTAAACTCCAAATTGTACACAAGAAACTAAAATTAAAAATAATACAAGACTAACAAAGGCTAGAGGCTCCTGACTTGGGACAGGCGCAAAAATGCGGCGGGGTTAAACATGTTTATGAGATCTCAACCCTCCCCCTATACCTCTAGCCAATGTAGAAAAGTAAACGCATAACAATACGCACATTAAAATTCAGTTCAAGAGAAGTCCGAGTCTGATGTCAGAAGATGTAACCAAAGAAAATAAACAAAATGACAATAATACATAAATAACAACAGACTACTAGCAGTTAACTGACATGCCAGCTCCAGACTTCAATTAAACTGATTGAAAGATTATGTCTTCATCATATGAATATCAGGCACAATCCTTCCCGTTAGGGGTTTAGTATCATACCATCATAACATATATGAGAAGAACATAACCCGTGTCATGTCACTTTTTTGAGTGGAATTTAATATTTCTCAACTGTGCAGAAATGAGAATATAATACTATCCCATCATTCCCGTGAGATGCAGTTGAAGATTACAAAATGTTTATTTCATTAATCATTTTAAGATAGTATATTGACAAACTTATTTTCTGAAGAACTGCAAAACATTGTATTCTTTCTAACATAACCTTGAAAGGTTGCCTTTTTGAATACACTCATTAGAACTCCCGGGAAATGTGATGGCATAAATTGAATTTCAATAAAATAAAAATTTCTGAGATCAAGCAAATCCTGTGTGTGCATATGTCTATAACATAAGTGAATTAAGTTAATAATTTATGTTTATTTTTGAAACATTTTAGGGAAACTTAGGGTTTCAAATTAAATAAATATATAACAATTTATGTGTTGATGGTACGTTTCATGCTATTTTTGTAAAGTCTGTATATTTTCTGTTTTTAGTACCTTAAACTGTTTGCATTTGTCTTGTTCATCTGTTGACACAGAAGATCTTTGCTGAGAGACAATTCTTTTAATCCTTGGAGTAGCCAATGAAAATCTACGGAATTTAGGATACTTCACTTGATAGGTCTTATTACCAATAAGCCTCCTAGGATCTATCTACAACAGAAAATATCCTTATATTTGCTTTAATCAACTAAATTGCATGACATTTTATTTAGCCAGCTGCTTGGTTTGATAGTCATTTATATCCATTTTTCAAAATATATTTAACTGATCCTAAGATACTCTGTTCTGAAATGAAAGCCAGTGACCAAAATTATGAATTTAACTGTACTTTAAAGCTTACTGATATTTTATCATTGCTTCTTTAGATACTAAACCTAAATATTTCCTAGAAAAAACACAAAAGCATACAATACTGGTTTTTATGTGCAGAATACATTTCTGGAATAACCTTCTTCAAGTACACTGAAAGATAATTTCTATCCAAAACATGCACTTCCTTACATGTCTGTGTCTGACTGTTTTTGAACTCTTGATGTCTTTTAGTTGTTTTTGTCATTGGTTTGCTGTCTCATTGATGTACACCCCCAGATCTCCTTTTATTCATAAACATTTTCTTCCCAGTTCATATATATATACTACTTGTTACCAACAAACAAATTGTTTCAGTTTTCCAGTTCAAAGATATACCAATTTCAACTCCTAATTTCTTTAATATTTTTTAACCAATAAACCACAGAGATATGACAAAGATATAACAAATTTCGAAAATTGTTGACACTACTAATGCTTGAAACAACATCTAAGTCCTAATTTGCAACTACTGCTCTGGTGAGATACCATTTTAATCAGACAATAACTATCAATGATTGAATCTATAGACATGACATTTATCAAATACCCTGTTCTAACATAACTTCAAGTAATATTTACGTTTTCTTTATCAGACATCCAGTCAATGCCTTTCTTTTTGGGGCTAGGACATTCTGCTCTTATACTAGGTCGTCTGGCAAACTTCTCCTGGATCTGTATGCTACGTAAAGGGTCACTCTGCTTTCTGACAGCTTGGTCCTGATTGTCTTTTGATATAAAGTTCATTGATTTCTTCACACTCTTCTCTTCCTTTTTCATAGGAATTTTATTATCCGAACCTGATCTTTTCCTGATTGATTTATTTTCAGAGTTACTGGAAAACCGTCTCACAGCCAGTGTTGGTATTTTTCTTTTTATTGGTTCATATCTTTGTACAAATGTCTTCAAAGGTGAAAAATTCAAAGCTTCATTTGCAGAAAGCCTTTTATCTGGGTCTTTGTCAAGTAATCTGGTACACAAGTATCTTATAGTTGTTCCAAAGTGACTGAAAAAGAATGTAAAAGTTATTATCGCTATTTTGTGTATTTTTCCTTTGATCTTTTTTTGTGATAATTTTTCATATCAAGCTACTTGCTTAAGATAGAAAATTATCTCTAAAAACTAGGGGTGCATGTGCCCCTGTCAATGTAAACATCACCAACAAGATAAACAGATTATGAATGGTCTTTTAATTTTGAGGATATTTCTCAGCCACATCTCATCCCTGTCGCCCTTCAATGAGATTGTAGCTGAGAAACACCCGAGGAGGTCTTGTTTGAAAAACCATCGATAATCTATAATTGTCACAATGATGTCATGCCATACTCAGATATTGTTATTTTCATTGATCTGTTTGCTCTCAGTGAGACTTAATATGGATTCATTATTATTCATCGGAAACCAATTCTGTGGTTTTCGTGAGTATAGGACATAGATAAACAAGAAATTTAAATTCAAAGAAGAACAAATTTTCAATAGGCTTGTATGAGGACTTTTGCAAAACAACGAAATCAAATATCCACAAAAAAACAATTTTTCCTCAATCCTCGAAAATAAATGAATCCACAGTATTTATTATCCCTTTTACTGAAGGTTGCTCACCGCATGGTTATGTTTCAAACTTTGGTTAACTGAGGATTTTATTCAAACTCTTAAATACCTTTTGTATTTACTCATGTTGCTTGTATTATCCCTTGGTTAAATGAATCATACTCAACCAACCCTTGATTTAAAAAAAAAATCTTATTTAACTAAGCCTTGAACCTCTTTCAACAGTTAATATGCTAATAAAGGCATATTATTGTTAAAAGGTTTGATGTTTTTAAATGTATGAAAGAAGGTAATAAATATATGTACTGAAAATGTGACTTAAGCTTCTATTAATGCTGTAAAGTGACAGATTTTTTAGTGAATGCTTGTGTTTCACTGATTGTGGGTGAATTAGGGAGATATTTTCTTAATATGTAATAAAGGTTATAATAGGAAGTATTTACTCTTGCTTCACAGCAAACTGACTCATCAGCAAGGGAGATTCTAAGGTAATATGTATGTATCCTGCAATCTTGCAAACTGAACTGCATATTTTTTTTTGGTTTCTTTTAAATCAAGAAAGTTATCATTTTTTTCAAGGCAAGTTCAGATTTATTTAGTTTTTATAAAAAATGTTTAAGTCTTTTTGTTGTGGGGATGTATAAGTACCCTGCCATGTCCACTCTGTGTTTTTTTTTAGATGTATTTCTATTTGTATCCATCTGATGAGTTAAGCCTTTTTCAACTGATTTCTATATAGTTTGTTCTTATGTTATACTTTTAGACCACTGTCCCAGGTTAGGGGAGGGTTGGCACCTTCAAACTAGATTAACCCCGTCACATTCTGTATGTGCCTGTCCCAAGTCAGGAGCCTGTAATTCAGTGGTTGTCGTTTGTTGCTGTGTATCATATTTGTTTTTCGTTCATTATTTTGTACTTTAATTAGGCTGTTAGTTATCTCGTTTGAATCGTTTTACATTTGTCATTTCGAGGCCTTTTATAGCTGACTATGCGGTATGGGTTTTGCTTATTGTTGAAGGCTGTACGGTGACCTATAGTTGTTAATTTCTTTGTCATTTGGTCTATTGCGGAGAGTTGTCTCATTGGCAATCATGGTGCAATTTTTATATTAAGAGCTATCAAGTTATTTTAAAATTTTATCATTTATTGATCTTTCTAGTCACACAATACTGCTTTTGCTATATATAAATCCTTTAAACAAAACTATGAGTATTTTTAAGAATATTTAGCAAGAAAACAATTACATTTTTATGAAAATAGCACAATGTAAATGACCAAAAATAATGTTTACTATCATACTTCCTTTACTGAATCTCCTTTATAAAGTGAACTGTACCTTGGCAGTGGTTCAAACTGGCCTGTCATTATCTTCATCACCAAAGAATCAAAGTCCTTTGCATTGAAAGGTACATGAAGAGTACACATTTCATAAAGAACACATCCAAGGGCCCACATATCACTTTTGTGGTTATATCTGATATTGTAAAGGAAAATTCAAACAGTCAGACCACCAATTATATTTGGGTTATTACTTATAGGAAAAATAAATTACATATTTTATGATAAAAATGAAAACAACAATTTAGATAATTTTATGCGTCCGAAGCGCTTTTCTGGATTTACCTTCATCAGGAACGCTCAAAGCCGAATATTTGATTTGAAAACAAAGTGCAGCATATTCTCAAAATGCAACACTTACAATGTATTTAAACTGTCATTAGCATTAAATCAATATTACTAGAATATGGATCTGAGTTAACTGTTAATTGTTTTCACTGTATTTTATTTCTACTTGTATTGCACTAACATGACTAACATCTGTGAGATGAGATTTGGTAATATGAAGAATTGGCTTCTCAATTTTTTGTTTATCTACTGATTTATATATTTAGATGTTAAAATAATGTCAAGAGCTGGGTCAATATCCCTAAAGCACCTCAAATTGAGGAACACAAAAGTTGTGCGTAAACAAAAAATCTCTGTGTAGTGATATTGGACATGTTTCTATTTTTAACACGTGACTGAGCTTAACCATGTGTGCTGATTCAGAAAGAAGAGGATCATAGAAAAAATGTGTAAAAACTATGTAGTTATTAAATGAATGCAAAGAACTAAATTTTCAAAGAACTTATTGTGTGAAAAAAAGGGATTTTTTAGCTGGAGGAGCGGCATCACGAAAGGAAATTTAACCACATATGTGAAAATGTCTCAGCTTCGAAACGAGCCATCATACATATCCAAGTTTACGATATGAGCCGAGGAATTGAGGAAAAGGCTACCATTACCGCCTACCTGAAATGAATTGTGCATCTGTGCCCAGCTACATGGCATCCTGACATTGCACTTTGAAATCAGACTTTTTTATGAATGCCTAAAACTACTGTTCAGAGTCAGTGTGTATGATTGATTGATTGATAGTGTTTAATGCCACTTTCAGCCATCTTGGCTGTAATGCTGTGGCCATTTCTATTGGTGGAGGATGCTGCTGTACCAACAGAAAATGACAGACCTTTAACAGGAAACTAACAATCCTCATCCATTAAGATACATATAGAAGTCAAACAACTTGCCACAAGCAGGGTTCGAGCTCATAACTTACCGGGTAAAGTGCTGACAGGCTAGTGATAACTGTAGATGAACTACTTGGACCACTCAGACACCAAGGCCTCTCAAACTGTATGAGAAATATAGATCTCACCACTGCATCAATTGTGTTAATATATTTCTCCACTTGACAGTTAAATTTTAATATTTAAATAATTAAAATTTAACTGTTGAGAGTGGAGAAATATTGTAATACACGAGTTAAAGTGGTGGAATCTCTTTCTCTAATGATTTTTAGACGATATCTAAACAAAGTTTATCCTTCCTTTACAAAGATTTGCAGAAAGTTGTGTTCTTTATATGTGACGTCATCAGGCATGGTCACCTTTTTCATGACAGTACAATAGGAAATTCAAAAGAAACTAAGAAAATTTGACGACATTATTAAATTTCAACCAATCAGTTGCCGAGAACAAGTCTCTAAGAGATAAGAAATATTTTTCTCACACCGATTGAGAAATGTGAAAAAAAACCATGAAATACATCCACTTTATTTGAACTTTGGTGGATAGTTGTCTCATTGGCAATCATACCACATCTCCATATTTTGAAAATGAAAATAAGAGAAACGTTTATAATGAAGGGTATCCAATTTTGCCAACCTTGTCATGCTTGTGTTTCATACATGTTTTAATAATTTAATTTTGGATGTAACACTTCTTCCGATTGGCTGAATATTTTTGTCTATAGGTTCATAGACATAATTTTGTCACGGTCATCAACATTTTTTCATGATTTACTCCTGGAGTAAAATGGAATTTAGAATTAAATTATAAGGAATGTCTGTAATATATTTTCTGTCTATTCGAAATAACCTAAAAAATGTGGTGCACACTTTTAAATAACCTGCTACGCGGGTTATTCAGTGTGCACCACATTTTTGATATTATTTCTTCATAGACATAAAAAATATTACAGTCATTCCTTAAATGGAAAAGTCCTATAATTTTCTACTGGTATCCTGTTACCAATTATGTACTATTTCTTTATTCAACATAGTTATGATTGTGAGAGTATTTCTTTAATTCTTTATCATATGCTTCAGACTTATTGTGATAGTCAAGGATACGGTTTTTTCTGGCATATTTCAGGGCTCAGGTAAAAAGGTGTTCCAATAGCTGTCATAGCACAATCTGCACTGTCCCTTAAAACTCTGGCTATTCCAAAATCACCAATCTTTACCACATTTTGTGATGTAAGAAATATATTCTGTGTTTTCAAGTCTGCAATAAAATTGATAGTAACAGCTTTATAAATTAAAGATTTTATTTCATGATAGGTAAATAAAATAAGCTAGACTGAGGTTAACCGATTCAATGCTGTCTAATCAAAATATACCCAACATCTCTTTTTATTCATATCAATATTATTCTTGATTAAACATTCTTCAAGTTAACAGAATGTCACTGGTTCTGAACCAATAAAATAGTGCAAATCATTTTATTGTCAGATGGAAATCGGTCGGATTTTTCAGATCGATAATCACTGAATTAGAATCAACAGAAGATTAGTGCAATGTCCTTTTTGGTTCTCTCCAGTGTCAAAACTAAGTCAAACATGATTGGTGACTGAACATTTGTTTAAAATACAAGTTATGTGCAGATGGGTCTTTGCCATCAAGTGCTATAGCTGTAAACAATGTGCAAATTAAATATTTTGGGAACTATTTTGTGTGTCTTGAGTATTTTAACAGAAATAACGCATCATCCTCTTTTGTTTAACAGTTTATGTACAATCTTTGTTGGGCCTTCCGCATTGACATAATCATAATAATCTTTTCTGTCAGCATTTGTTGCAGGTTTTTAGTAATTCAAAATTGAATAGTTCAGTCACACTGACAGGTAATTTATTCATATTCCATGTACATGATCTTTGAGAAAAACACAGAACGACCTCTATTTTTTTAAAATAGTCATTGGATAGTAGACCCCAGCTGACAACCAATCAGTTAATGTTTCTGATGACCTATGCACTACTAGTATTAATAATATCTTATTTACAAGAAGTCTCAGACTTATTGTAATCCTTATTAATACTAATAAATACCTCTATGTAGAATATTCTGTGAATGTATATACTTTAATGCAAAGCAGATTTGTACAAACCAATCCAGGATTGCCTGAAAAAGAAAAAAAATGGTAAAAAAAATAAATGAATATTTGACTAACACTTTACCAAAATATTTACAGTATAGCTCACAGCCTCAGACTGAGGATCATAATTTTATCTATATGAAAAAGATACATTGAAAAATTAAAGAACCTTTGTGAGCACACTCACATATCCCATGCCCCCACATTGTCACTGACTGGGCAAACAAAATCTCACTAGATTCCTAAGTTCAAAGACTCATAACTCCTACAAAAGTTAACTGATTAAAATTTCTTGTGGATATGCACATCTACCTATTATGTTGTAATTATCTACAAAGTTTCATGAAATTCTGTTGTGTGGTTTCAGAGGAGTTGCGATGACAAACTGTTACAGTAGTATATTTAAGATGAAATTCTAGGTTCAAAGGGGCATAACTCTTAGAAAAAAACTGAATCATAATTTCCTGTTGATATGCAATCTACATAGTATGGCCCAACTTTCTATAAAGTTTCATGAAATTCTGTTGTGTGGATTCAGAGGAGTTGTGATGACAGACTGCTGCATAGTATGTCCTTATTATCTACAAAATTTCACGAATTTCTGTTGTGTAGTTTCAGTGGAGTTGCAATGACAAACTGTTGCAGTAGTATATTTAGGTTGAAATTCTAAGTTTAAACGGGCATAACTCCTAGAAAAAAAATTGAATTATTATTTCTTGTCCATATGCACATCTACAAAGTATGTCCTTATTATCTAAAAAATTTCATGAAATTCTGTAGTGTGGATTCAGAAGATTTGTGATGACAAACTGTTGCATAGTATGTCTGATTATTATCTATAAAGTTTCATGAAATTCTGTTGTATAGTTTCTGAGGAGTTGTGATGAACAGAACAGGACTAACAGACTGGTCAAAAACATTATGCGCTAAAGGAACTTTGTTCCCTGGGGTATAATTATGTTGATATTTTGTCACACTCATATTGTCTACTGTTACAATTGGTAGTGTTACATGTAATTGCACATTGTACCAACCCATACTTCTCTCACTTTAACTACAGTCAATTGGAAAAAGCATGTTGAAATGATATTTGACAGTTTACTCAACATCTATAGTGGACACACGGATGTCTAAATCTTAAATAGACATCATAAGCATGATAAGTTTAAGAAGTAACATTAAAGTTACTACATATGTATATTACACTAATGGGGTGAATATTGGCACTAACAGTAACAAGTGTTTTCCAAAGTTAAAAAAATACATAAAAAGTTCAAAATTTTTAAAGCCAAATTGCAGCATCTTAAATATTTACTTATAATCATGATAATAGGACATGAAATCAACTAGACAAATAAATTAATCTCATTTGAAACAACAATAACTCTGAAATACCTGGACTTTGATACATTAGGACTGACAAATGAATCATTTCATTTTGCACCCATTCAAAAATTATTGTTAAATACTTCAATTCAAATGTATATCAATATGTTTTAACTCATATACATATAGAGATGTGTGTGTGTGGAAAGATATGTACATATATGATTTAAGCATAACAAGAATGTGTCCATAGTACATGGATGCCCCACTCGCACTATCATTTTCTATGTTCAGTGGACTGTGAAATTGGGGTCAAAACTCTAATTTGGCATTAAAATTAGAAAGATCACATCATAGGGAACATGTGTACTAAGTTTCAAGTTGATTGGACTTCAACTTCATAAAAAACTACCTTGACCAAAAACTTTAACCTGAAGCGGGACAGACGGACGGACAAACAGACCGAAAACATAATGCCCCTCTACTATCGTAGGTGGGGCATAAAAATGAATTATACCGAAACATTTACATAGAAATCAAAAGCTGTCCAACTGAACAGTTTATCTCTCTCTCAGTTTCCTATGCTGAAAGACCAAAAATCAAAAAGAAATATGTGACAGTTCATATACATGGTTTGGCTTACCTCCTTACCAAAATGTATCCCTTTCTGGTTAACAATTCTTTTGTGCAGATCCCCTACAAATAAAAAAAATATGTTCATGATTATTTTTACTTTTCCAACTTTAAAAATCATACATATCATATATCCCCATGAACATGATGAAGATGACAATAAAAGACCATAAACTAAATGTACAATCATGACAATGAAATGTTAATAAACCTGTTCAGAGACAAACATTTCTTTCATACAATAAGAAAATACCATTTACTATGTACATGATGTATAAATCATTGCAACCAAATACACAATAAACTAATGTATGTCTTGGCTGTGCAAACTTATCACAAACTGCCCAAATGGTAATAATTGTTTAATAGGAAGAAATTCAGACATCTTTTATTGTTAGTTTTAAATGATTAAATCCTATTTATATATATGTCAAATAGAAGAAATTAATACATTGTGGGGCCTCGGTGTCCCAGTGGTCTAAGTAGTCGAACTACTGTATCACTAGCCAGTCAACACTGAGGTTGTGAGTTTGAATCCCGCACGGAGTACTGTAGGTGCACTCGACTCCAATCTTAATTGACTAGGATTGTCAGTTTTCCTAGCGAAGGTCGGTGGTTCTCTCCGGGCACTCCGGCTTCCTCCACCAATAAAAACTGACCGCCAGAAAATAGCACAATAGTGTTTAAAGTGGCGTTAAACACCAATCAAATTGAATCAATCAATTAATACATTGTTGTACACATACCTGGTATATGTACAACAATATATTAATTTCTTCTATTTGACATATATATAAAATATAACCAGAATTAAAAACTTGATGTTTTCTTAATTTAATATATATGTATCTGATGTATTGTACGTGTGTCTTACTTACATTCATGAACTAAATTTGCTCATGAATATATATATATATACAGTCTGTACATGTATATATAAAATATTCATGAACAGTTTATGAACTACAACATGTACAAGTGGACAAACTATGTTCATGAACATAATCTGTATTCACTAAAGAACAGTTCATGAACACAATAATTTTGTATACATGTACATGAAGGAAATTCATGAAATATTTATAAAAAAAATCATGAACTGTAAATGAATAATATTTTTTTCATGAACAGCAAACGGAAAAGAATATGTTCATGAACTATTAGATAATGATAATTCATGGACAGATTTAGGTTCATGAACTATCCTAAACATTCGCACCCTTTTTAAAAGTTTTGTTTTGAATAATTTTTTTAATCATGTTTAAGTAAGTGTATCTTACATATATATATATGCTATATAAAAAGGAGAATGATATAAATGTTAATATAATGGACAAAACATTATAGAAAGAGAGACCAATCAAAAGATAAGAAACCGGTATTAATGAGTAATGGGGTTTTCGTCACTGAGAAAACAACCAAAAGAGGAGTTCAAAGGTTTTTAGACATCAAATTTCAAATGACTTGTGTATCCCCCAAAAAATAGAAATAGCTCTGGGACTCTTTTCACACAAAAATCTTATGAATATAAGTGACATTCTAAAAACCTAAACAGGTTTCCATTAGGTTTTGTGAATTATTTTTACAAAATGAATAATAGATGTTGTCATCATGGTCATAATGATCAAAGGCCAAGTTCACTCATCTAAGATTTGTAAAAGAAAGGCGGAAGATATCAAACGACTATTAAACTTGTCACGAATGACATTGCCAAGACAGCAACTAAAAAGAGCAATTAAATATTTAGGGTAATCTACTTTTACACCAAAGCTATATTTATAAAAACAATCATGATTTTCAAACACATAACAATAATCATGATAATACCAAATTATCATATAAAATTTAATATTTAAGAATTATAATCATCTTATCACAAAAACAATATTTCATTTAGAAAATTCATGAATTTTTATTCATGAAAACATAAAAATTTTATACATCTTAAAAACATCTACATGTACATTAATAATTCAAAATGTATTTGAATAAAAATAGGGTGTGAATGAACCCAGGGGGAAACATGTGGGGTGCGCACATGTTCTGGGAGCAAACAGGCCCAATACCATACATTGTACATCGCCAATTTCACCTCAGATTTGGAAGGACTGGATTTAATTTACCCCTGCATGGTTTTATTTACGCCCATTACATTCTGGTTATGCAAGTATATTCATTTTACATTTTGTTTTTAAAAACCAGTTGGTTTCATTTACATATTTTAACGATATACATGTAAACACCTGGTTTCCTTATATTGAATGTTCCCAATCCAATTTTTTTACACCTGGTTTAGGTGCCAGTTAGGGAGCTACCATTTGATTTTTAAGGGGGGTGGGGGGGCTAGGATGAAATTTGAAAAAAAAAAAAGGCAGGACAGGAGTTTTGAGTTAAAAAAAAAGGCAGGATGAGCAACTTGGCAAAAAAAAAGGCAGGATGACAATTTATGTAAAACTAGAGGCTCTCAAGAGCCTGTGTCGCTCACCTGTATTTACTGATGCTTTGGAAATCATGTAAAATAAGGTTAAAATCATAATTAATAGTATTAGATATTAGATATTATGATGATATCTAAGATAACAAAAAACTGCAAAATTTTTGTAAAATTACTAACTCAGGGGCAGCAACCCAACAACGGGTCGTCGGATTTGTCTGAAAATTTCAGGGCAGATAAATCTAAATCTGATGAACATTTTTGCCACTGTCAGATTTGCTCTAAATGCTTTAGTTTCAGAGATATAAACCAAAAACTGCATTTTACCCCTATGTTCTATTTTTAACTAAGTTGGCCATGATGGTTGGAAGGCCGGGTCATTGGACAAATCTTTTAAACTAAATACCCTAATAATGATTATGGCCAAGTATGGTTAAATTTGTATCAGTAGTTTCAGAGAAGAAGATTTTTGTAAAAGATTACAAAAATTTACGAAAAATTGTTAAAAATTGACTATTAAGGGCAATAACTCCTAAAGGGGTCGACTGACAATTTTGGTCATGACAACTTATTTGTAGATCTTACTTTGCTGAACATTATTGCTGTTTACAGTTTATCTCTATCTATAATAATATTCAAGATAATAACCAAAAACTGCAAAATTTCCTGAAAATTACCAATTCAGGGGCAGCAACCCAACAACAGGTTGTCAGATTTGTCTGAAAATTTCAGGGCAGATAGATCTTGACCTGATGATCAGTTTTACCCTTTGTCAGATTTACTCTAAATGCTTTGGTTTCAGAGATAAAAGCCAAAATCTACATTTTACCCCTATGTTCTATTTTTAGCCATGGCGGCCATCTTGGTTGGTTGGCGGGGTCATCGGACACATTTTTTAAACTAGATACGCTAATGATGATTGTGGCCAAGTTTGGTTAAATTTGGCTCAGTGGTTTCAGAGGAGAAGATTTTTGTAAAAAGCTAACGACGACGGACGACGACGATACCGATGACGGAAGCCAAGTGATGAGAAAAGCTCACTTGACCCTTCGGGGCAGGTGAGCTAAAAAGTCAGGATAAACTAATAAAAAAAAAGGCAGGTCCAAATTTTTCATCCTAGCCCCCCCCCCCCCCCCCCCCCCCCATAAAAATCAAATGGTAGCTCCCTTACATGTCTAAAGCAGGCATATCATTTCATACAGGTTTGTACTCAGCGATTTTTGTGATTTTTGCGGTGTAAACACACCCTTTTTATTCCATTTGTTTCAATGAAACTTAACATTAATATCTAGTCAATTATACCTCCATCTGCATATTCCATTACTATTTTAAGAGACCCATCATCAACAAAGGCATCAAGATACTTTATAATGTTGGTATTTTTACATCTAGCTAGAACTGACACCTCCGTCAAAGCTTGATCAAGTTCACCTTCAGACATTTTAAGAATTTTTACTACTTTAATCACACATTTTGAATTATCTTTTTTGTTTCTTGCAAGCCATGCTTGGCCAAAGGTTCCGCTGCCTATCAAATTTAGCAATTCAAAGTTTCCCGCCATCTTGTCACTAGTTTGCTTCACTTTTCGTTTTCAGATTTATCTAACTTGATTTGAAAGGGTTTTGGTGGCATGTCACCTTCACTCAATTGTTTGGTCAGAGCTTAAACACAGTCGCTAAGTCTCAACTTCATACACAGGTGATGATTGTTCATTTTTCTCGCAGGATGCATTCAACAAAAATGTTTAAGAAAAGACCCGAGACCAAACATCTAGATGTAGTCCGAAAAAATAAGGAAGACAACTCGTTATATTTAGAACATGATAGACATGCAGCATTTGCAAAAGTGATGTTAACCTCATAAAACAAAATTATTTAACATTGCATTGGCACGATGGCATCAGTTTTGACACCATTTTCGTCACCAAACTGGTGTAACAGACTGTCACACATTCCTAAATATTTTGTGAGGGTAAGCATAATATCAGATAAAAAAAGACTTTATAAACAAACACAAATTAACAGTCAGGGGACTTACTTAAATGAGTGATTTTCTAAATCACTGATTCAAGTAACATTATGTCCATAAAGGTTGGAAGTAAGAGTTGTCTTTCTTTAAAAATCACCTATTTAAGTAGTACAAATTAATCACTAGACTAAGTGATTTAATTTTATTGTAGCTTTAAATATAGAATACTAATGATCCAGGGACTAATTATGTTGCTAAAATTATCAGAACCAACATCTGTGTTGATAGGATGACCGGGTCATGTCAGGTGATGACCTTGTACTAAATCTAGGATAATAACATAAAAATTACTTGTTTAAGTATCATACCTCAATTTCCTTCCAAAAAATCACTTCTTTAAGTATCATTATTTTAATAACCCCCACTAATTTCAACACCCCTGAACAGTGAAATTTTGATCGCGAACAGTAGAATTTTATTACATAATCTATAAGATGAAACCTTGAATTTTACAGGAAAAATACTCCCACTGCTGGGAAAAATCTGTTAAAGAAAGTATCAGTTCATAATGTAAAGCCATTTTTATAGCATTTTTTCAACTAAAACAGAATTTGCAGCTAAATGATTGCATCAAAGGCATAAACCTTGCTGCCTAAAAGAAGCAAAAAGTTCATTTTTTTCAATTTTACTAATGAAAAGATATTATCTAACCCTATGTGTTTAAAATTTTAGTAAAACTACAAAATCACAATTTGTGACAAAACTTCGAATTTGCTACTTAAATAAGTGATTTAAAAATCACTTATTTCAATAAGTCCCCTGACTGATTAAGGAGAGACAACTGCTGGGTCAGGGCTAATGCAGACTTTTTTTTTTAGTAATTAGTATGGAAATTGTCTCAAATGAAATCATAATATGAAGCAGGTGTTACCTATATAAAGGGGACGAAGTCTGAATAAATTATTTTTTTGAATTCATTGAAGTTGATTCAAGCATATTTTAACTTCAGAATCTATTGAAAAAGAAACGGAAATACGGAAAGGTTTCCGATGTTGGTACTGTTGTTAGGGATTTTAATTGTGAGATCATTTTCAATGTTAATAAAGAAACACTATCATCAGGTATTTTTTTTTTCATATCAAAGAATTATTATAATAACATTTTTATTTATAAATCATATCTTTAAACTGAGACTACTATAACATGTGTTATAGTAGTCTCAGCTTTAAACCACGAAGATACCAAGTCGTATGTTATAATCTTATCAGATATTGAAATCTGACTGATTGATCAGGTGAGTTTTCAAAGAGAACACATTTTGTTTGCTATAAAAACGTATGTTGAATAAGCTCGGCAGACTAATTTTAAAATGTAAGAAATTTATTTTATTCAACTGGCAGTATTTCTTTTGGTAATCAAAAACAACAAATTAAAATGACAGATGAGACCGGAAGCAAGAAAGAGATTTCTTGGCAAATGCGGGAAACTGAAAAAGTTAGAAAAAAAAAGTTCATTAGTATATACATTGTATATATTCATTTTTTTTCTTCATCATATTGATTTTCTTACTGTAATTGGGGACTTTGTCCCCATATCACCCACTTTTCTTTTTATATAAGACTTCAATAGCTCATAAAAGCTCATGCATTTATCAAAATTAAGCAGATTCTAGATTTCATTTCTTACGATTTGAGACCCAAATAATGCCAATGCTAAATATAAGGTAAAAGTCTGAGTCAGCCTTTTCTCACCATTTTTTAAAACTTGGGGAACGACCATTTAACTTCAAAGGGGTGTTTTCCTAAAAAAATATTCTGATCCCCAATTTGATGAAAAAAAATATTGTGGTCAAGCAGATGACAATGGACATTTGTCTTAGCACGAAAAAAAATTCTGATTCCAACAAAACACCATAACCCTCCCCCCCTTGGAGTTAATTGGTTGCTCCCTTAAATATCTCCATAACCTATCAATTGTATTTTGTTCATTAACTAATGCTCTTCTGATTTACAAATGTATAGTATCAGTTTTAGATTCCAGATTTCTTTAATTTCACCTGACTACATCCGATAATAAGGCTTGAATTCAAAAAAATAATTTATACGGGGTTTGTCCCCTTTCACAGGTAACACATGTGGCCTGCCTCATATTATCTTTAAACGACGAAGATACAAAGTCGGTTTGTTGTTCTTATCAGATACTGAAATCTGACTTCCAAAGAGAATACATTTTGTTTGCTATAAAAATCGTATTTTGAATAAGCTCCAGTCTCATTTTAAAATGTAAGGAATTTATTTTAATTGTTTTACTGGCAGTATTCTTTCAGTAATACATTGTAATAAAAAACAACAAATTTTCGGGAAACAATGTGATGCTTGTATATTTTACCCAAAGTCCTGTGACAAACGAGACTGGAAGAACGAAAGAGATTTCTTGGCAAATGCGGGAAACTGAAAATGTTAGAAAAAAAAGTTAACGATTTTGAGTTCATTAGTATATTGATTTTTTTTTCTTCATTCTATTGATTTTCTTACTGTAATTGGGGACTTCGTCACCATCTAAATATTTGACTTTTACAGAATAGACTTATTGTTAAGTTATATTGATTAAACTGATGTTAAATTGCTGCGTAGTGTATTTTCTTTATCACTATCAATTTAACTTTATTTGAAAGTCTATATGACAGCTGGTATTGGAAAATTTTAGTTTTAAACTAAGATAGCATTCTGCACTCACTCAGTTAGCTTTAGGGAAGAGCTAATTAAAAAAAAAATACTACTGTAACAGGAGAGGATGATTCTTCTTACAAAATCACTTTGTCTCCTCCGGGACTCGAACCCAGGACCTCTGTGTTACAAGGTAGTGCTCTAACCAACTAAGTTAAAGAAGTACTTCCCTAGCTCAACCGCTTACGGCTGGCTAACATCTACTACATATACTAAGTGAAGCAATCCTGTCACACTACAAACAATTACAACACAAATTTTTCATCAAGATCTTAAAAGGGGCATTAGCTACAATATATATAGACAAAATATTAGAATATGTTTTTGTTTTTGTTTCAAACATTTATAAAAGCGGAAAATTCAAACATTAATTTGTTAGTAGCAACCAGTATGGTTCAATTTGATCAAAATAGGCTAAAAAATATTGCTGATGTATTATTTGCTTGCAAGTCAATAATTCAACTCATTTGAATTCGTATTCATGCGTCCTTTAATTAAACCCTTAGCTGGAGAAGAGTTAGGCATTGGCTAAGCATGTTATTAAAAAGAAAAATGTCAACATTGAAAAAAGTAAAACAAGGTAGCCAACAAGAAGAATCATTTCTTTTACTGATTTGGGCCACACAAAAAGCATTCTTTTACAGGTAAAATGATGATTTCCATATTTTTTAATCTGTGACATGAAATCATACAGACCTAGTCAGTATATAGTCAGTATAGTTTGTATGTGCCTGCTTGTCTATTCATATTTATGTTTATATCAGGTGATATGACCATCAACAGTCTTCAGAGGACATCTTAAGGTTAAAATAGATGGTGTCATTTAGAAAAACAAAGGATATGGGGTATCCATCCATGACACAAAATCAGTACATGCACAGCAAAAAAAAAAAAAAAAAAAAAAACGCACACAAAAAAGCAAAGGAACAGCGCTTTTATTGCTGTTCTTCATCTCAAAGTCACAGTGAGGCCTTCAACACAGAGCAAAAAAACTCTCACTTCACTGCAAGTTTAAGACGACCCCTAGCACCAGCTTGAGCGGAATTCTTTGCAAAAATAATTTGGATAGACTTTGTAAGATGTAACACCACCTAATCAGGCCCGATCAAAAAAGAACATACTGGAAAGTAGTACATATTTAAAACAAAATAGTTCCTACCCATAGGTGTAAATCTTGAACTATGTAGCATATATTTTAGTAATTAAGGTGTCATATTCTAGTCTAAAATACACAAAAATTGCTGATACATGTACATCAAAATGAGTCCAGTCATTGTTAATTGTTTCTTTTGGACTTTTTGTAAATATGATATAGGTTTTAGTATGGTACGAATAGAATATAAGAAATTGAGTCAAATTGGTGAACATGAATTTGACAGGTAATGCTCCTTTAAGGACATATCTATAGGTAAACATATGGTCAATTACAGTAATTGATCAGACTGGTTGCATTCATAATCCTTATCTTTATTTTTCTCCATCCCAATGTTGCCAGTTTGAATTTTGTTGAAAACACTTACAAAAATATTATATAATATATACTTCCAAATATTTTTCAGCTTGGTAATATGAATACACCAATCCATGAATGGAGACTTCCAAATGTTCCCGATGGTTTTAAAGTTTACATCAAGAGAGATGATATGACTGGGTCAACATTGTCAGGTAATAAGGTGTGTTGATATTGATACCTTTTAGCTCGTCTGAACATTGAACTTTTGCCAATATTGTGATGTAAAAGTAAGAATGTGGTATGATTTCAAATTTGGTGATAATCAGCATGATCCACCTAAGACCAAAGTACAAAGATGTAACTCTGTGGTTGCTCAGCTGTACAGCTTTTAGCAATTAGTAAAACATATATCATGCTTAAAGTAAGCTATATTAAATGTACATTACCCAAGATAACAATTTGAAATATAAAACAATCCAAAGCATAAATAAATGGTCTGATTTAAGCTAACAACATTATGCAAAAAAGTAGAATGACAGATGGCAACCACTGGACTACAGTCTACTGGCTTGGGACATGCACATAGAAAATGTGGTTGCATTAACATG